TATTTCCTCAACAGCAAGGGCACACAGAAGACCGTTCCCGAAGAAGCTTGGCTGGCCCTATAAGACGTACACCGTATACCCTTTATTTTATTTTGGAGTTCTTTGGCGTTTCGGGGTTTCTGCAAAGTGGCCTGGATGCAAAAAGGAAGGGACAGACAATCTCTCTTTTGAGCTTCCGGCCAAGCAAGGATGAGGTGGACTTTCACCCAAAGAAGTCCTACGATTCCAAGATGGAGCTCCAGGTGCCTGGCGAAGACCCCAAGCCCTTGAAGGAGCCCGATCGCGAGCTCATGGCTTTGGTGGATGGCATGCTCGGCCAGGTCTCCTGCGGCCGGATCGGATCCAAAAGGTTCTTTTGCTTCCGTTCCTGTTTCGGTGTCTTTCGGGTTTCTAGGGAAAAAGCCTATAGGCAACGCAGCTCTTCTGATCTTTGGCACCCTGGAGAGACGTTCACGGTGTTGTCACATTTTAGCGCGAGTCGATTTTTATTGGCGCAGAACAAAAAGCCACAACGCAGAGTTCAAACTCCATATTGGAATTTGGAGTTTCCAAGCAGTTCGCTCTTCCATCAGTCCAAGTTCAAATTGCNNAGAGCACACAGCAGTGCCTTTTTTTCAAAAAAAAAAACAACTTCAAGCAAAGCACAGACGTAGAGTGATCTCTTTGTTTGAGGTATGGGCAAGCCAAGTACCTGCGTTTTCCGCTGTTTCTACGACTCGGAGAACGACATCTGCGGCCCCTCGCACTTCTGTGAGAAGGTGGGCTCCAGCCCCGCAGACAACCTAGCACCTTTCGGTGCCGAGCAGAAGTGCAAGGCGCTGGGTGCGGCAGATCACGAGGCGGCAGATGCGGAGATTGCCAAAAAGCTGGAGGACATCAAGGGATCGGTGTTGGACCTTACAGAGAAGATGGAACAGAGCCCGGCGATTTCGGAGAAGGGGTCGAGCCGATCTTCTTTGAAGGCCTCTGCTGCGATGTTTCAAGAAGTCGCCCAGATGCTCGATGTGATGGAGGCATTTCCGATGCGCCTCGCCCCCGAGAGCGGCGACTTCCGCAAAGCCGCGGCCAGGGCGGCGCTCACGGACATGAAGCACTGGCGTGGCCGCCCGGACCGGTTGACCATTCCGCAGTACCAGAAGGCAGGCCAGGCCAGCATCGCTGAAGTGCGCAGCTCGACGGACTTCTCCGTGCCGGCGAAGCTGCACAATACCCTGGTGGACTACGTCAAGAAGCGCCCCAACATGCTGATCACGTTCCTGAAGCAAGAGACCAACGACAAGTGTACCCTCAGTGACGAGACGGACGAGAAACGAAACCAATTGGGCACATTTGTGAACTACTTTTTGAGCGTCCCCGGCTACGACCCTAGCGACTTGAAGGATGTGGCACATGGAATCCCAACACCCTGCCGAGACTTTCTCGTCAAGGAAGTGAGGGCGGATGTCCAGAGTCTGGTTCAGGCTGCTGAAGAGGGGCGGCAGATCTTGTCCAACTCGACGGCCGAAGGCGATGTTGCAGACGGCCTGGTTCAGGTGAAGTCGGACCGTTTGGTTCGTGCCCTAGGCTCGGAT